ACCGGTTTCCAGTAGCCTTCGCCGCTCATTTCATCAAGCCGATCAGAGCTGGTGTGACTGATGTTTCCGAACCCGCTGGTTGGTCTGCTGTTCGTCGGGCTCGTCACTGTGCTGCTGCTGGTGGGTGTCTTATTCCTCTCTCGCTCCTTTTTCAAATCGTGCCAAATCACATTCTGGTATCCATCGCATTTGAAATCCACAACAAACGTTCCCTGCTCTAAGGTATACAATTGAATGTCGATAAACACCCAAACTCCGATGTGCTCGCTTGGGATTTTCTTGTTGAGTGCTGAAAGACTGTCGGGCCTGCTCATGGACACTTGTCCTGGTCCTGTAAACGCATCCTGGCTGTGAAGGGCTGGCTCACCTCCCGTATTTTGCCGGGAGGGATGTCCACTGCTCGCTGGTGACCTCGCATTTGCTTGGCTTCCGTTTGGAGAACTCATCCCGAGCGCCTGTTTGACATCCTCCGAGGCATAGCCCAGTTGCTCAATATGTCTCTTGAGCTGGGTCTGTGCTTCTGCGGGTAGGCTGACCGCTGAACTGTGAGCTGAGACAGATGGCGCTTCACCAGGCATCAGTAATCCCTTTTTCAAGATTCTCGCGCGAATATTGAAAGGATCTCGGGGGATGTAGTAGTCCTCGCCCACAAATGAGAATCGCTGTTGCAGGATCTCGTGGCGTTGGCCAGGTTCTAGATCGGGTGGAGGCAGAGGGATACCATCCTTCTCGTCATCACCATCGGGCATCGACTCAGGCCGCAGCCACGGATTAACTTCCCATTCGGCGCCTTGTGCCTTGAGAGCAGCGTACAAGCACTTCATGGCTTCCCAAGGTTGGTTTCGACTGCGGATGCCAAATTGCCAGCGTCTAGGCTTTGTTTTGGCAGCGGGTGGGCGTTTTTCGTCGGTTGGCAAAGTCGTCATACCTTCGGGTCGGCCTTTAGGTTCTCGCAATGAATTTAGAGCCGTCACAGAGCGCGAGTGTGGTTTCAAAGCCCTTGATGTGGCCTCCTGTTCTTCTTTGGATCGATAAATGGGATTCCCCTGCTCATCCTTAATTTCTTCGGGGATGGGGCTTTCGGCTTCGTCCTTCTGATCTTGGCCTTGTGTCGGATGGAGAATCATGTCGGGATCTTCACCATGAGCCTTTGCCTTTTCGCGGATCTGAAGGAGCTCTTCATGAACATGAGGTAGTGATGTGTTCAGGACGCGAACATTTGAGATCCTAGGCTTCTCTTCTTCTCTGAGGGAAGATGGAGTTTCAGATAGTGACCGACTAGCTCGGTGCGCATCCGTGCGACTTGGAGTGAGAGGCTTGACATCGATATCCTGAAACCGTCGTGGCGAGCCGGGGAAATTGGGATAGTTTGGTTCGACTGGAGGCGAAGAAGCCATGAACGACTCCAGCTCTGGGTTCTCTGTGCGGTATTGGGGAGTGCTGATCATTAACTGGTTCTCTCTGACTATGAGATATGCGTCTTTGATTGCACTAGGCTCATCTTTGCTCAAAGCATCCTTCACATCCTCCTTCGCATAACCCATGGTACGACCAAGCTTGCCAACGACTTGCTCGTGAATTTTCTCAACCACGTCAAGTGGTTTTCCCGGAGCAAGCTGACGAGGGTCGATGGCTTTGGTGGGATCGACTCCGGTGTCCAGAAATTCTTCCACGGGATCAACCAAATAAGCAGGAAGGTCTTTCATGAACCATTCGTCTTGTCTGATTTCGGGTATGGTGATGCGATGAACTGGATGCACTTGCAAACATCGCTTGATGAGGTTTACCGCGCCTGGCGGAGTTTGTGATGGAATGTGAAATGTCCCGGCCTGAATCTTCTTGAACAGTGCAGGGATGAACTCATCGTCGAATGGGAGCCTGCCAACGAGGAAGACGTAGAGAATGACACCGCAACTCCAGACATCGACTTCAGGACCGGCATAGAGCTTTCCACCAATGACTTCAGGGGCAGCATAGTTTGGGCTTCCGCAACTCGTCTTCAAGAAATTGCCATCTGTCATGATATTACTCAGACCAAAGTCGGCAATTTTCACATTCATGTTCTTGTCAAGGAGAAGGTTCTCCGGTTTGAGGTCTCGATGGACAATTTTGTGACGATGACAATACTCGACAGCACAGATGATCTGTTGAAACAGCTTCCGGGCCTTTGCTTCGCCCAGCCGACCATGCTTCACGATGTAATCGAACAACTCCATGGGAACATATTCCAGCACCATGTAGATGTCTGTCTTGGTTGTTATGACGGTGTAGAGCTTGATGATGTGTGGGTGCCGCAGGAGTTGCAAGTATTGGATCTCCCTCTCTATCCGCCCTGCCATGTCCCGACTGATTAATTTGCGTCGACTGATAGTCTTCATTGCAACCTCTTGACCCGTAACCTTGTGTCTCGCAAGCTTGACTTTGCCAAACGATCCTTCACCAATGTTGCGCACGAAGGCATACTGGTGTAGTCGTTGCATTGCGCGGGCAGTGCCTGGGGACTCTGCCATCGGCGTCTGGCTCAAGCTAGACCGTGCCGGCGGGGAGAGAACAGTAGGGAGGGACGGCCTGGAGCGGCTGGAGTTGGTTTGTGGGAGGGAAATAGAGAGTTCGTCATCGTTGATTGCCGACGACATGGTGGAGGTTGAGTAACCGCGTGCAGAGACACACTCTGCCTACCGTGAAGGCTGCGGGATGAATGTCTCGAGCCTCTCAGATGGATATGACTACACAGATAGGTGTCACCAGTAGTCACTGCATTGGTGGTTGGGCATCTCCAAGGGACGAATCAGTCGAATGCGCAGCGGTGGGTAATCCTGCGCCTATGAATGGCAGCAAGACTAGGCTGAAGTTCTGGTGGGTAACGCCGGCTGGAACCAACAAGACCGAAGAGATATTGAGAATAAGGTAAATAGCGAGCAGTACAGGGCTGTTCGTAGCTGCTTGCGGATGATAGTTGACGGGTTCAGCGAACTGAGTAGGTGATCGTGTGGGATGCAGGGTGAGAGTTGGAAGGTTGAGGCGAAACGGACGAGGGGGACTTGAGGATTCACGTGCTGCTATGGCGGGCAGCCCATCCGCTCGTGCCGCTTAAGTTACCAGAGTCGGTAAAACTCCCTTTTCGCGGGGATAGAAACCCACTAATTCGGTGGGAGTTGTTTAGTGCACGATGACAGCCTTGCAGCGGCTTGAGGCTCACGAGAAACTGTATTTAGCACTATCGCTCTGTTCATTCACCAGCTCGGATCCTAGCCTATTGAAAAATGTCCTGTTTTCCCGTACCCATGAAACGAAACGAAATGAGATGACATGGATCAGAAGACAATTCCGCAATCCGAGGTCTCGGATCGGCAGCCTGTTCACATACAATCCGATCCTCTCATCTCTCGTAAAATCCCGTGCAATAATCTTGAGTTCTGCTGGCATCCATCATCGAATGTTTCACCCACATACTACGCCGTTGATTGCGTTCACAGCTATCTTCTCATTCAGGTTTCTTCCCAAATCTTCATATGAATGCTGGCAGATCGATAGAATCAATCAAGGCTTCTTTCATGATATCGTTTGGCGTCCATATGTCTTCTCCGCCAGAGTAAAAGAACCAGTACTCTGCCGTGTATTCTTCTTCTGCCATGAGTCGTTGGCTGTCACAAACAGGGGGAGTGCCTCCCGCAACCTCAACTCGGTAGATGTCCCAGTCCCCCTTCGGGCTCACCGAGTGTGCCCATCTGCTGTTGCTACCAGGGTTATCTGGCGCAAGCACGGATTCGTACGGAAGGGCTTCGAATGTTGCAATGTCGAAAAGAGTGATGATGGCTGTATCGTTGACAGTTCCAATGGTTCCCATACATTCCAGAGTGGAATTCCTCAGCTGCTCATAGTCGAAGTCATGCAGTTTGGCAGGTAGAGCATGAAATGCCGCCTCATTCGGGAGGTTTTGGATGAGTGGAGCTGCATCGTAAAGTTGCGTGGACTGGGATTGAAACTTGGCGGGCTCGCTTGGTCCATTACCTGCGCACAGATACATGTAGAGGCCGCGTGCGATTGCAAGGTATTGAAGAGGTTTGCCAGGTGTCGGGGGTGATAGTGAATCCGTGCCTAGAGCTGTGAGTGAGTGTCACCTCGGCGCAGCTTGATTGATCTCACAAGCTTTGTTAGGATCGCAGGTTTTGCTGCCCTGCAGAGGCACTGACCAGCCTGCAGCAGCTGAGGCGTTGATGGGAGGGACATAATCGAGGTCACTGCGGCGGTCGAAACGACGTGCAGAGCTCGAATCCTTGACGAAGCCCAGGAGAAATATGGCTGCCAACCACAGGATTGAGGTGAGCGCGACCATAACGCCACGGCTGGTTGGAAAGAATGGCCAGAGACGGGAAGCAGCCGTGCTGACCAATATCTGCTACTTTGTTGAATCGATAAAACGAATGACTATTTGCTGAACGAGTGACTGGGCCGGAGAGGGAAGAAAGATGATGGCGTCGAAGAGAGGCGATTCTTGGGCTGCAGGAGCGACTCCAGATGAGACCTCAGGGCATTTCTGTCGCCAAGAGGACAGGTAAGGTTCTAAGAGAAAAGTGAGTGAAGTAGATGCTTTGCCGTGTCTTCCTTGTGAGGTTGCTCGAAGGTGAATGCGGGCAATCTGTACCAATACCCACAGAGACAGCACGTGTGCCGGAAAGACTGGACTGAAGGACCTGCGAAGCTTACCATGAATGGTGGGCAACGTAGCAACATTCTGCTGCCCTTTCCGATGCCATCAAACAGGAGTGGTTAGAAGGTTGAGTGGACTGAATTGTATACCTATCAACAAAGCCCTCGATGGTACAGCGCATCACTCTTTTGTTCGAAATATCGCCATACATTTCACAACACATTTCATGCACATATCCCCAGCGCCTAGCTCACAATCAATCAATCAAGGTTAGTAGTACAAATCAAATCGAGGCTTGCAATTGAGGCTGCTCAATGCAGGGTTTGCCACAGAAGCGAGAGAGCTGGTTTCAGTGTCCATCTGCTCCCAACACTTCCATCCGATCTCTTCTCATTCCTTCAAGGACGGCCACAATGCCACCATTCCGCAACCTCTCGAGCACGACGTTCATTCCTTCTTTTCCATTTACCAGGGCTGACTTGGTTCGTTTCACTCCAATCAGCTCGATGGTCCGCTGAATACCAGCTGTCGACCACGAAGCAAACAGTCCTTGTTTTGGAGATTCTTCCTCGACATTGGCAGTGTGCTCTTGTCTTTTCCTGCCCAGTAACTTGTGTTGGCCCAGGTGTGATACGAATGTCACAACTGTTTTGCAGGTGGTGGTCTCTCTGGGTTTCTGTGGTTGGAGATCATCGCTCGACCAACTGGAAGACGCAATATCCGATAACCGCTGCCGTTTATAGGTCTGACGTTCGATAACGCTCAAGATGCCCGTCCATTCCATGTTCTTGGACTCCGTTTCCATCCATCCTTCGTTGATGTCAATGGTACTCTTCTCTAGGACATAGCTCTGACTAGCGCCACCTGGGCCGGCAAGGCCGCGAGGGAGGAATTTAAGGATGCCGGAGGGTACTTTTGATTTTTTGAGATGTAGTCGTACAGTATGAAGTCGGTTTGTCTCGGGGTCGATGTAACGATCAATCACATCCGAGCTGAGAACATGCCTGGAATAAGGATTCGGATAGCGCAGGAAATATGCTAGAGTGACAGCGGGGAAAGTGTAGTCGTAATTAAAGGAGTGCTCGTAGACTTTCATCCTGGCGTGAAGACATTCGACCTAAAGTAACGGCTGATGGTTAGGGCGGAAGATGAGAGTGCAAAAGAGAGGGCAAGTTTTTTTGGAAACCCTCACGCGAGCTCAAGAGCCCAATTGCCACTTTCGGCGGAAGAGAAGAGGAGAGAATGGCTTGGCCGGCAGGTCATCGAGGACGGAGAGCCATATCCGACGGCGGCATGTCATTGGGCCACTACCTTTCACGGTACCCATTGGTCCCATTGGCAATTGGGTTGCCCGCCAGCCGCAGACGACGGTGAATTTCTGAAGACTCATGCCAGTCACAACTGTGCAGGCAGACTGTTTGTAACTGCTAATTACTCCTTTTGAGGCGCCCTCGCCAACGTCCCTCCCCTCCTTTCTGCTGTTAGTACCTCGCCTCTTCCTCATATTCTTCCTTCTCCCACATCCTGCCCTTTTGTCTCCGCCCTTCCATCGCACACAGTCACCCCTCGAACCCCTCGCTCGCCATGACAGAACAAAAGATCACCCCCTTCGAAGTATCCGGCGGGGTGGATGAGTCTGGCCAAATAAAGCCGGTCGACTACGACAAGTTGATTCGCGACTTCGGTGCCACGCCAATTTCGCCCGCATTACTCGAGAGATTCGAAAAGGCAACTGGCCGAAAACCCCACAGATTCATGCGCCGTGGAATAGTGATATCCCACCGCGATCTCGAAAAAATCCTGACCAAGTATGAAAAGGGCGAAAGATTTTACCTCTACACTGGGAGAGGGCCGAGTAGCGACAGCATGCACGTCGGGCACAGCGTCCCTTTTGAATTCACGCGCTGGCTACAAGAAGTCTTCGACTGCCCCCTCGTGATCCAGTTGACAGACGACGAAAAGTTCATGCACTCCAAAACCATTAGCATGGACGATGCAACTCGATACGCGAGAGAAAATGCCAAAGACATCATTGCGCTGGGCTTCGACCCGAAAAAGACGTTCATTTTCTCGGATTTTGAGTATATGGGAGGTGCATTCTATCGCAATGTTTGCTTTGCAGCGAAACATGTCACGCTCAACCAGATAAAAGGGGCATTTGGGTTCAATGACAGCAACAATATCGGTGAATTCCATTTTCCCGCCACACAGTCTGCACCTTCGTTCGCAACGAGTTTCCCACATGTCTTTGGCACCGATGCAAAAAGTGTGCCGCGGATCCTGTGCCTAATCCCGTGCGCAATTGACCAAGATCCCTACTTCCGTGTCTGTCGAGATATAGCGGAGAAGATGAAATATGAGAAACCATGCCTCATCCACTCTCGCTTTCTTCCAGCGTTACAAGGTGAAGGGACAAAGATGTCTGCCAGCGTCGATTCGTCTGCGATATTCTTGACCGATACACCTAATGCGATCAAGAAGAAGATCAACCGCTTCGCATTCTCCGGTGGGCAGGATACCGCAGAGAAACAACGGGAGCTGGGTGGAAGAACGGACGTCGACGTGCCATACAAGTACCTCACCTTTTTCTTGGAAGACGATGATGAATTGGCGCGGATCAAGGAACAGTACGAGAAGGGCGAGATGATGACTGGAGAGCTCAAAGCACTCTGCATCAAGGAGTTGCAGCAGTACGTGGGCGATTTTCAGGAAAGGCGAAAACAGGTGAGCGACGAGGTGGTTCATGACTTTTTCAGCAGAAAGGGGTTGCTATTTAGAGGTGTCCCAGCGGACCAGAAGACGGTAACAGTGGGTACCGCGACGGATAAAGGCGCAGCCAAAGAGAACGGGCCAAAGAAAGAGCTTCCGGTGCGGTGAGCCTGCAAACCCCCGAAAAGCAGGTAGAAAAGACCTTGACGAATTTTATGTGTTTCAAGTGCTGAAGTAGTAGAGCATGACTCGACTTGAAATTTGATAAAAAGAACAAGCATGAATTAGAACATGACACCTGGAGCTTTTTTTTTAAATCCATAGGTTACGCTCATACATGGAGAGCGACAACTAGAGGAAGAAAAGAGACACTCCTTTTCCACTTTCTTTCTTTTTCCCCCTGTATACTCAGTATATACTAGGTGACCCTGTCAGGCGTTTTCACGCCGCCTCACCACGCCAGGAAAGAAGCCCCTGACAGCGTTACTCAACCAGACGACCTCGCCATCCTGGACGTCTTGAACGGACACAGTCCCCTCATCGCACCAACCCGCCTCGAGCGCGTAGAGCCTTGTCACCGAGTGCATGCCACCGGCATCGGAGCGCGGTGTCACCCAGCGACGGGCCGCGCTGCGGCGCAGGAAATAGACCGCCGATAGGGACGCCTCGGTGACGAGTCCGTCGTCGTTGAAGAGGAGGACTTCGCGCGTCGTGGGCGGCGTGGTCGGGAGGGGGAGCGGTGAGTCGGTGGCACGCCCGCGAGCGTCGTTGTACGCTGTGCGCACGGTGGTTTTGTGCCGCGTGAACAGTGTGGGATGTGTTGGTTGGGCGTCGATTGTGACGTGGCATGGCTGTGGCTGTTGGGGTGGTGGTGTTGAGAGCCCTGCTGTGGCTTGTCCTTGATGTCCAGGCACGGTCGACGTAAACGGGCACGACGTGTACATGTCGACAGCGTCGGTGAGGGTTGAAAGTGGTCGGTCCTCGCCCATCGCCGTGCATTCCACACTCACCTCGCCGGCATGGGAAATCAGGACGCGGACGCGGAAATCCCGTAGAAACCCTGCCTGGGGACCGTGTGAGGGAGATGATGTTCCTCCTGCTTTTGCCGCCGCTGTCGCCGCCACCGCGTTCTCGACGAGGACTTGTATATTGAAAGGTTTGTCTGTGCTTGACGAGGAGGAAGGCTTTTCCTTTTCTTCCTCATCCGCTACGGCAACAACAGAAACCGGGGGCGTAAGCCTCGTCGCGACATCTGTCCAGCCACATGCTTCCGCAGCCTCGCGCAGTCGCCGTGTATGCAGCGCAAAGAGTCTCGTGGTGATGTCCCTCCACTGGCGTATCAATGCCTCGGTTCTCGCGTCTGGCTCGGCATCTTGAGTGTTGAACAGCGTGTGTTTCAGTGTCGTGATGATTCGAAAATCCGGTGCGGAGATGATTGAATTGACATCGACTTGCCCCGGACGTAATGACATGCTTAACACTGTGTATCTTCGTCCATAGCCTGCCTCAAAATATGTTGCTGAGGTTGGCTATCTATAGTCTGCTAGAGTTGTGTTTGTATGTAAATTTTCTTACTGGTACTGACCAACCAACACCAGGTCGTAGTGGCAATGGCTTGTTCAAGTGTCAGGCTTAAGGTTCGGCCCGCCAGCGAGCACAATAAGGACATGATTCCAGGAACTACCATGACTACTTGTATGTAGCATCAAGACTTGGTGAGAGGAAGGAGATTCTCTCAAAGAATACACGCGCAACAAGCCCGTAAAAACTCTTACGCATGAGCCCCCCTTCAATAGGTTCCGTCTTGTTGCAATGACAGTGGGCTAGCGATCTGAACCATACTCTGGAGTCGAGTCCTTGTTTGCGAGACGAGAACATTTTCCCTCAAGACTATGGGCGACGGAGGAGCAAGCTATAGGTATTCAGCAAGGCCAAAATTGATCATACTTGCGTGCTCACAAGTCATGCTATTTAATCAACGTATGTGAGCTGTATCATACACTTGTAGGAGTAACTGTCGGGTCCGAATTTGCACTCTCGCGCAGGATTCTCCATGCAATCTCTTCCTGTTGTTTGCTGATCTCCTCACCTGTCCAGGGTCGCCATTGCTCTTTTAGTTGATGTCCCACAACTTGAACACCATCAGCAATCGGCCACCCATGCTCCTCTGCAAGGTGGAGATTGCGTGTCTGCAAGGGGTGGTAGCACATGTCCAGCATACACGCGTGAGGCGGTCTTTCCTTAATAAGAAATTGGACATACACGGCCCTAGCTTGGATTTCTCCTGAGGTTCTGGGTTCAAAGTCAGGAACAGTGCTCACGATCCATTGTGGGCACGGCAAGGTCGAGGCTTGCTCTGCAGTTCGGACGTGGACAATAGTTGGCCGGGTCGGCGTTTTGTAATGGTTCACATCTTCGATAAGCTCTTCAATCTCGCCAGCGTCGCGATTGATCACGTAGACGTCCTCGCAGCCCAGATCCATAAGTGCGTAGATTGCCGCTCGGCTTGCGCCACCCGCTCCAATCACCACGCCTTTGAGCCCTTGTACGGCACTTGTGGCCGCTTCGCTCCCTAAAAGAGCCTTTTTGATTCCAACCCAGTCCGTGTTGGTGCCTCTCAAAGTACCATCATCGGCAACAGAAACATGGTTGCAAGCACTGAGCTGATCAACAAGATCATCAACATGGTCCAGGTACGGAATGATTGTCTTCTTATAGGGCATTGTAACAATACCTCCAGCGAAATCTGAGGAGTGAAATGCGTCCAAGACTTCCTGGAGAGCTGACGCCTCGAGAAACGTCATCTTCCAACGGCGTTTGAGACAACCAGCAATGAAGTCGTGGGCACGGGGCGCTATCGAGCCACCTCCAGGGCCGCCTGCTATGAACAGTCGACTCCTCTGTGTGGAAGTATTTCCCATAGTGATCCGGTCGCTTACTGGATAGAGACTGCTGAAACGAGACCAATGGAATATGCTAAGGAACTGTGATGAAAGTATCCGGAACCTGCTGAAGAGCCGTCAAGGTACGGGTACCAGCAGCCTTTCCTTTCACCGACGTGTAGATACGCCCACATAGAGCTACATATACCTTGGTATTGTCAATTGTGTTGGTTCATGCTGAGTATGAGGTATAAGGAGTGGCAACGAGAAGGGACTGACCCGCCAGAAGCATCCGAAAGTATTTTGTTAGCCCGTAGGTCGACCCGTGCGGACGGCGCGCGGCAAAGTTCATTGCCGGTCAAGCCGGTGTTTGACAAGTCAATTGTTGGGGTCAGGTTTCAACTGCGGAGAGATCCCCATGTTTATGCGAATTGCCTCCAAGTGGGAGATGTCGAGATGGTACACAGGCAGGGTCTCGAAGGATCGTCCATGGCTTTCTTCTGCGATGTTTGTTGGCTGTTGGGTCACGCGGAACTGTCCATCATCAATATCTACATTTCGTCAGCTTTTGAAGCTCATCTGCACCAATGGTTCAACCCGCTGTTGCCTCATTGTCCCTGGGTGATCCTGATGTCCACGACATCAAGTCAAGACTGCGCGCAGCCGCACAAAATGGATTTCATGGGGTCGAAATCATAGGCACCGATATCGACGCTACTGCAGAGAAGCTCCCGGCAGGATTGACTTATGATAACAGGCTGCAAGCTGCGAGGAGCATAAGAAAGCAGTGCGATGCACTCGGGTTGACTGTGATGGTCCTTCAATCATTCCGACACTATGAGGGGCTGCTTGATCGTCGGCAGCACGAGGCTATGCTGGAGAAACTGCGACTATGGTTCGATATTGTTCGAATCTTGGGGTGCGATATGATTCAAGTGCCGACAACTTGGTTGCAGGAAGGGACGACGGGTGATGAGGAGACTTTGGTCGCTGATCTCAGAGAAATAGCAGATAGAGGCCTTGCAGAGAGTCCTGTAGTCCGATTTGCATACGAAGGAGTAGCTTGGGGCAGATATATCGATACGTGGGAAGGCACATGGGAGATGGCAAAGAAGGTCGACAGACCAAACTTTGGGCTTTGCTTGGACACTTTCCACATCGCTGGTCGGGTCTGGGGTGATCCTACCACGCAAACAGGGCGCACTGGCAATGCAGACAGTGCTTTGGAGGCATCTATCCAGCGTTTGATCCGCGAGGTAAATGTCGAAAAGGTGTTTTATGTCCAGGCCGGAGACGCAGAAAAGCTGGATCCACCACTGAGCCAGTCACATCCTTTCCATGCAATTGACCAACCTGCAAGGATGAGCTGGTCACGAAATGCGCGACTGTTCCCCTACGAGGAGGACAGAGGAGGCTATCTTCCCATTGAGCGGGTGATGAAGGCAATTGTGAAGGGGTTGGGCTATGACGGATGGGTTAGCATGGAGCTGTTCTCATGTGAGCTATCGCAGTCTGATCCCGAGTTGCCGTCGAGGTACGCGGCTAGGGCTTCGGCATCGTGGAAGAAGATGATTGCGGCATTGAAGCAATGAGGATCAGTCAGAGAAGTGTAAGAGGAAATCTGCGTCTTTTCTCTATATATGAGCAGGGAATGAACATGCATCCTTTCAACGCGAGAGCAAAGGAGCGGAGGTTGAGTAACTGCGGTGAATGTGATTGGCTGATTCGGCGTGGCTGCAAAAGTTGCATCTCCATCTCCATTTCGCATCGTTTAGGGAAACTTTCTTGTCTTTCAGTGACGATTGTCAATATTCCTTTTCCCTCCGTCCTTTCGCTCTCGGTCCATTCGTCGTTCTTCCCATCTCCATACGCCTGTGAGGTATCCAGGGCTGGCTATTCGAGCTTCGTTTTTCTTCTGTACAATAGATTTCTCTGTCCTCGATGTCTGAACCCGTCGCTATCGATGCCACCCGCGCACCCGCATCCCTTTGGGACCGCGTGTCGAACTGGGTCTCGGAGAATAAAGCTGTCGCTTATACCATCGCTGGAACAGTAGTTGTCATCACGAGTGCTGGCGCCATCTACTATTTCTCAAGTCAGAAAAGCGGTGCCCCTGCTACGCCTACAGAAAAGAGAAAGAGCAAGAAAGAGCGACGGAAAGAAAAGAAAGCTGCCGAAGAGGCACAGAAGGCAGGGATTAGTCTGAAAGATGAGGAAGCTGGTGAGACTAGGTTGCCACAAAAAGCGATGGGAAACACGACTGATTTACGATACAGGCACGGCGCCTCGAGCTGCGACCGTCGAGACCGAGGATGAAATACCCGAGATCAACGAGTCCAACATTGAAAACTTCTCGAAAGAGGTAGAGCTGCCTACACTGTCCTTGAGACGCTATTCTGACCATGACCATGAGCAGGAGAGAGCAACATATGCCGGCAAATTAAAGGCTGCCGGCAACAAAGCATATGGCTCCAAAGACTACAATAAGGCCATCGAGCTTTATGGGAAAGCAATCCTATGCAAACCCGATCCTGTGTACTACTCTAACCGAGCCGCTTGCTACAACGCCCTTAGTGAATGGGACAAGGTGGTAGAAGATTGTACTGCTGCCATCTCGATGGACCCAGAATACGTCAAAGCTCTGAATCGCCGCGCACACGCGTATGAACACTTGGGACTCTTCTCTGAAGCGTTGCTGGATTACACAGCCAGTTGCATCATTGACGGATTCAAGAATGAAAACAGTGCCCAAAGCGTGGAAAGATTATTGAAAAAGGTGGCAGAGAAGAAGGGCAAAGCGATTCTTGCCGGCAAGAAAAACAAATTACCTGGTGCAACCTTTGTTTCCAACTATCTGCAGAGCTTCCGGCCGCGCCCGCCGCCTGAGGGCCTGGATGAAAGCGCTGAGCTCGATGAGAATACCGGCAAAGGCCAGCTTCAGCGTGGCTTGATCGCCATGCAGAAGAAGACTGCCGAAGGTTACGACGAAGCTGCGGCGGCCTTCAAGAAAGCTCTTGAACTCGGAGACCTGGGTGAGCATGAGGCTTTTGCCTACAACATGCGTGCCACGTTTTTGTACCTCGAGGGCGACATCACCAACGCTCTCGATGACCTCAACAAAGCCATTGAGCTACAACCTTCTCTCACTCAACCATACATCAAGCGTGCTAGTATGCAGCTGGAGTTGGGGAACAAAGACCTTGCTGCAGAGGACTTTGAAAAGGCCATGACACAGGACAAAAACGATCCGGACATCTTTTACCACCGTGCACAGCTGCATTTCATTCTCGGAGAATATGCCGACGCCGCCAAGGACTACCAAAAGTCCATTGATCTGGACAAGGACTTTATCTATTCGCACATTCAGCTGGGCGTCACCCAATATAAGCTAGGATCGATCGCGTCTTCGATGGCAACATTCCGACGATGTGTGAAGAATTTTGACAAAGTGCCCGACGTGTACAACTATTATGGCGAGCTGCTGCTTGATCAGCAGAAGTATCAGGACGCCATCGAGAGATTCGAGACCGCAATCGATATGGAGCGCCAGACAAAACCCATGGGAGCTATCAACGTGCTCCCGCTCATCAACAAAGCCTTGGCACTTTTCCAGTGGAAGCAGGATTTCAAGGCGGCGGAAGAGCTTTGCGAGAAAGCGTTGATCCGTAAGTTGCCACTTCGGCCAAATGGAGTCTGACCAGCTGCTAATGGGCTTTCTAGTGGACCCTGAATGCGACATTGCTGTGGCCACAATGGCTCAGCTCCTCCTTCAACAAGGCAAGGTGACCAAGGCTCTGGAGTATTTTGAGCGCGCCGCCGAGCTGTCGAGAACAGAAGGGGAAATTGTCAATGCGCTTTCTTACGCCGAGGCCACACGTACGCAGCTGGAGGTGTCACAGAAGTATCCTCAACTGGCTGCCCGTCTGCAACAAATGGAGGGCGCAGGCCTCGGCGGACCTCAACTGAGGTAACAATGTCATCTCCATGGCATGGAAGTTTGCATTTGGTCTTGTTCTAGCTTTTTGTTCCCGGAGGATCTCCCATCTTGCATTCTCCTTGTTGGTTCTGAATGGATACAGGTCTTTTATGCTGATGAGCGATCTTGACGAGAGATTCTTGACCTGTACGGGGATATGTAATACGCATCTCTTCTTCTTGTGGATCCCAGGGTTAGACACCGAGATTCGCGAATATGGCGTTTGATGAGCATGAGGGAACAAAAGGTGTGTAGCAGTGTGTAATAACAAAAGAAATCTCAAACTTGGTTGTTCTAGGCTTGGCCTGTGTATGCAAGTTCGAATATGCGGAGACGGCCACGAGGCTGGATGAGGCTCGATAATGATCATGCTCTGGACAAGGCTGCAGGAGGGAGGCCGTTAGTCTGCTCAACTGCTCAACTGTTTAGTTTCTGGGCGCCGGCTGCCTAGCACGCGGGTGCCTAAAACAGCAACATGATCCCCCCACTGACCCCCCCCCTCCAACTAGTCGTGCTGGTGTGACTGTTGGCGCCGCGTCTTATCGATTAGCTGGCAGGCGCCTTGCCCCTCACTTGCAGCCTGCCACTGCAGCCCATCTGCGCCTGACTTGTGAGACCGCATTCAAGACAAGTCAAGGCCTGAACTGCCTCATCTCGCCAGCTGCCCTCACTTTACACCTCGACGGTTTTACTTTTCGACTTCTATCAAAGAGTCAGCTTTGTCTTCTAGAGTCCTGGAGCCCTGTGTGGCTAATGATCTTGGACCCTTTATCTGCAACTGAAACCTTACCTAGAGGGTACAACTTGATCCCGAGAGCCTGCCTAATTCAAACGACACCCCTTCTGTCTCTCCGGTCACTTGTGCCCTGAACCCATTTCAATCTCCTCTCTACTTCAGGATTATACACTTCAAAAGAAAGCACGGCTACACCAGCCTGAAGACCGTTCCCTCACACTTCTTACCCAACAAGACTCCTAGAAGGAGTCCTGAGATTGACGAACTCTCCAGGTGAAACATGGCAGATCCCAACCCCTCCAAATATTGTACGTCCCACGGCCAGTCTTTGTGCCATGTAAATGTATTTACTGATATGCCATCCAGTGACCATTACCCTTCGAGAACTCGACTTCCACGAACCTCTTCCCCTGCGAGTCATTACCCTCGGAGCCCCAGATTGGGAGATTAGGATCGGTCGGGGTTCTGTGAGCCGTGTGGAGGAATTCACCCCTGCTGAGGACAATGCCTGGTTTGATTCTAGGGTCCTGTCAAGACGACATGCCATTCTACGTGGGAATCCGACAACCAAGGTATTATTGCATCATGTTACCCCTAGCCTGGAGGCTAATATCTCTCAGGAAATCTACATTCAAGATATTGGGTCGATGCACGGCACTTTCGTCGCTGGCAAGAGAGTGAATACGAATCAAATGGAGCCCATTTGGCCTGAAGACACCGTGACACTGGGCGCTGATGTGATAAGAGGAAATTGTGAGTACTATCAAGAGTTCGGAGTACAGGCTTCTGACACCCAAACAGCCCACTTCAGTGCTCTGCGGTTCATGGTCACTTCGAATTGGTGTGACGAAATGTAAGCAAGTCCGATCCTGAGATAATATCATTCACTAATCTAGGATGCTACAGTTTTCACCAACCACACGCAACCCAGACAAATCCAGGAGTGATAATATATCAAAACACCTTCTCGGCCGACTACAGTGACGAGGAAGCATATTCCGATCCTTCTATCCAAGTCTCCAGCAGTCCAGAAGAGAACGAGGATGAGCACGAGGAGAGAAATACTGAACACCATTCAGACCCCGAGGACGAAGACCAGGTCATCCAAGACTCTGTCCGAGAAGCCAGCATCGAGATAGTCGTTCCCGAGGTGACAACCTTCGCCGTTCCTGAATCCGACGACGCATCCAATACTCAAAGTCACGCTTCGGGGCCAGATGTCTCTGGCGAAGAAAGCCCGACCTCCAGCCCGTTGATTACAAGCGATACCCATGAAGACAAGGGCGCCCCTCCTGAGGATACCTCCCAACTGTTTCAGGGTCCCGGTATCTGCTCTGCCAGCTCTGACTATACAGACCATTCTCAAGTTCTTGTCCCTAACTCAGGCCAGCAGCCAGAGGTGCTACCAACCATGGATGAGAATACCTCTGAGGAAGATTCATACGGCGATGATGAGCTTGAAAACACATACTCAGACTCCTTCAGCTCGCTCAATGTCCCTCCGATCAATGTTGACAACCTGGCAAAACCTCTTGCTGCCTGCTTGAGTCCTTCGGGCCCCACCGATCAGCCGGAACATGTTCGCGCCCCAAGCCCGTCCGATGCGGCAATGGTCAAGCCGACGACCGACTCTGGACTTCGCGTCACATTGACTGCCCCACCGTTTTCGAGTTTTGGGTCGTCTAACCAAAATTCCGGTCCGATGGACAACCACGTTGCACAAGGTCGCCTCAGTTCTGCATGGGCTGGACACAATTCAGTCTTGTATGAACCAGTTGCACATCCGCTTGTACAGGAACCGTCTGAATCAGTCTACTACGCTTCTTATCGCCCTTATATGTCTCTTTACGGTGGTCCATACACCTTTCAAAGTCCCGAGATGTCGACTCAGGCACAATCAGCTGCTTCGGCATTCTCGATTGCTAGTGTTGTGTCACAACAGCAAGCGTCGAAGGATATGGACGGCGCAAAGAAGCGCAAATGTGACCAGATCTCTTCTGATGAGTGTCCAGGGACAAACACAGTTTCCGCTGACTCTTATTCCTCCGAAGCCAAGGATATTCATGTGACAAGTGTTGCAATTGGGGTGCGAGAGACCAGCAGTGTCAATGGTGATATCTTGCTGGACCCATCAACTTCGGAGGTGGCAGAGTGTAACGCATCTATGCATGTCGAGATGCCAGCACGCAAGAAAGTCAAAAAGAACACAGTCAAGGCTCCTGAGCAGCGGGATAGTGGTCGTAATAGCCTTGCCAAGACAGCTGGAGCAACCATTGCCGGTATGGCCATTGGGGCTGTCGGCATGTTCATTGGGCTTCTTGCTCTACCAGAAGATTACTTCATGTGAAGGATTTTACATGATTTCTCGGAGGGGTCGATGGATAAGTGTTGGCTATGACTTCTAATGGTTTCGGAGGATGAAGGATTATGCTCTCATGACTTTTATGCATGAGACGGTCATGTGTGACATAAAGGGTATCAGATTACCGGAGTTGATCTTTATGGTCCAACGGATGTTTGCGACAAAGGCGGAGCTGCGAGAACAGGAGCTTTCATACCACTGGTGAGGACTCTGACATACCATTCAATATCGAGCTTCTCACTGCGGGATGAGCATTGGGGAGAGAAGATTGAAAGGGTAAAGGGTGGACATGATCATGGAGTTGTTTTAGGCTGGTCGCAAGCATACGAGTTCGTGGACACAGGCGTTGCATCAAGTCATCTTACAGTGGTCCTAACTCTTCCATAGCTCGAAAGCTTTTATACCCTGGAATGGTCTTGTTATTACGGTTCGTGTTCTACGGTCGGTGAATGCGAATAATGAAAGATTTCACACGGAATGTATGTGGCTTCAATAACCTCGAAGATACATATTGATAATCCGCTATCGAGCCGGTCGTCGGCTATCCTCTCACCCTTTCTCTTTCCCCCTCTCTCAAGCCCCTCCTAGACAGTGGTTGTGGTTGGTGATGATGAGGATTCGAAAAGGCAACTTGCTGCTACTCATACAGTATAGAGAAAGTTAGTCCCAGGGGTCCAGCGTCCGTGCTCTCGTGTTCTTTGCTCATGCCGTGTCGCTTTCATACTTCATATCTTCATGTCTTCGTATCTTCGTGTCTTCATGTCTGTCATACCTCGTGTCTCGTTCCGTCGTGCCCATGCTCGTGTCGGTCAATGTACAGCCCATCCGCAGGTGTCGTCTCGATCCCATCAGTACATCATGATCTCTTCCTCACCAATCTCCCCATCCCAGGTTCAAAACAAGAAACAATCCGACCGACCAGTCCAATGTTTTTCGATTCATAACATCTGATATGGCTTGTAGCGCGGTGCACTCGCTCCAACCCATCCCGGCGGATCGCCAGTCTCAATTCCCCACTCTTTCTCCTCTTGGTCCCGTCAGAGATTGATTCGTTTGTAGGCGATAAGTTCGCTTATCGCGTGTGCGATCCGTGCATAGTATTTGGCCTTGAATCATGTCGTGACAGTATTGCCTCATTCTCTTCACTCTCCTTTTCTGCTGGGCGTCCTATCCAGGTGGCTTATTTCATACCACCATTTGGGTATCCTGTAATAGAATCGTGCCAGATCCCCCAACCCTCCCAATTTGTTGGAGGCCGTTCCATAGTGACTGAATATCCTTCAGTCTCCGTGTCAATGACCCGTGACTTCTGGATACAAGTACAACTTCCAAGATGGGCGGCCTCTTGTAATGCTGATTAGCACTCATTCATGCTTTGCCCTCCAATGTTGGTGATCAATGGCTGAACTGGGCGTAGCCAGGCAGTGATACTGTCAACTTCCCACCAAAGTGTTTAGAACGAGCCCTCAGCCCATCGCTTTGCTTAGATTTTCCCACTCCAGGAGAATTACTCCATTGCAATTCAAAGCCATGGGCGTTAGATGGTTTATTCAGCCAAGGCCTGGTCATTAGGAACCCCAGTGATGGGGTCCTCCCGCTTGCGCTGACCGAGTGAGACAGGGTGGACACTTGTCAGAAGCTGACCATTGTCCTATGTCCATGTTCCACGCGCGTCCCGCGCTTCAATGTATAGCCTCTCCTATTCTGGGTGTGAGGCTGCTTTGGAGCCATTGGACAGGCAAGAAGGCCCACGGGGAAGCTCAGAACGGTGCGGAACCAGCCCTCATGGGACTTTCGCCATCGTCGGCGATTTTTCTCTTCTCGCCCTTTGTCTCATTCCCACGATCGTCATGGGTTGCATTGGTCTCATCTGCCCTCTTGGTCTCAAAGTTGACCA